AAGTTCATAATTGCTTATCTTTTCTTGCCCACAGACCTGAATCTTATGCATAGAATTATTAAGCAAAATTGTTAGCATGAAAATAAAAACATGTGTAGCCCTAACTAGGTATTTCTTTGGTTTCAGTGAGCTAAAATTATGAATAGTCTTGACATATCAGGTATGTCAATAATATAGGAGAATCACTGCTATAGGCTGAATTGTGTTCCCCCTCCTCTAAATTAATATGTTGAAATTGTCATCCTCATTACCTCAGAATGTGACTGCATTTTGATAGGATCTGAAAGAGGTAATTAAGTTAGAGTGAGTTCATTAGAGTGGGTGCTAATCTAACATGACTGGGGTCCACATAAGAGGAAATTTGAACAGAGACATGTACAGAAGGAAGATCTTTTGAAAACAAAATGACAACAACAACAACAAAAGAAAACAAAATGACAAGATGCCCCTTTACAAACCAAATAAGCGAGATCTCAGGAGAAAGCAACCACTTTGACACTTGGATCTCAAACTTCTATCCTCCAGAATTGTGAGAAAATGAACTTCTGTGGAGACATCTAGTCTGGTGCCTTGTTATGCAGCCCTAGCAAACTAATGCTATAGCTAAGACTAATTCCTTGTATAGGTTAGTTAATGCAACTCATTTTTAACATAATATATGAGTATTAAATACCATTGTCCTCACTTTTTATTAGTACACGTGTGTAGTATACAATGTGTACATTCCTTCTGTGGAGTTTGTACATGTACATAACACATCTCCACTCCTTATTTCATCCCCTTTTCCTTCACTCCCTCTATTTCTTAATTCCCTTCCTATTTGAGAAAGATCTATGTCCCTACTTCTCATTATCTATTTTTTATTTTACTCTTATAATTTCAGTTTCTTATATAAGAGAAATCATGCAGTATTTAAGCTTGTGTGTCTGATTTATTTCACTTAACATTAAGGTCTCAAAGTGCACCTGTTTTCCTACAAATGACTCAAGTTTACCTTTCTTTATGGCAGAACAGTACTCTTTTGTGTATAAATACCACATTTTCTCTATCCATTCATCTGTTGATGGACATATAAGCCTCTTCCAAGACTAAGCTATTATGAATTATGCTGCTAAACACATGGGCAAGTTAATTATGCATATGTTTATTATGTTTTGAACAGTGGTATTACCCAATAGCAAATATAATTATTTGCCTGCAAGTTAAAGTGCCATACATAATGTTATGTACTGAACTGGCATTCAAGTTTTCAGGAGATTAATATATATAGCCCATATAGATGGACTGTAAGAATTTTCACTAAAGTGATGGATTTATGCTGTGCATTAAGAACCAATAAGATTCTAGCCAAATGTGATAGTGCATGCCCATAGTTCCAGTACTCAGGATGCTGAGTCAGGAGGACCAGGAGTTCAAGACCATCCTGGGCTACATAGCGAGTTCCAGGCAAACATGGACTACATATTGAAGTCCTGTCTGAAAACAAACAAACAAAAACAAAAGAAAGAATGATGAAGATAAAAGTAGCTAAGGAGAGAACAAGGAAAAGAAAATGAAAGTGAAAATCATAAAGGACACTGAACAGACCAATCTGGCTGAATCAGAAGTCATGAAACTAAATCAACTTGGCTTCTGGGAGGAGAGAATTGAAAAGATTGAAGGATAATCCCATGGCAAGAAAAGGATGAGACTAGGAGCTACAGATATCCACTAGCTTCCACTCAGGAACCAGATGTTACCCTAGCTACAAAAAACAACTCGCTGGTGACCTAAGGCTCCAACCCACGGATGCCTCAGGCATTTACTGAATTCTTTTTGAGAGATGCCCAGAGAAATAGATAAATAAATACTTATGGTAGTGTGGCTCTCAGAATCACAGGAGGGACCTTTAACCATTGTCTCTATCCTAGACATAGTGAAAACAAAATCCCTAGGGTAGTGTTTCACTTGAGTAGCTTTAAAAAATTGTGATACCTAGGTTACAATCAAAAGCAATTAAATCTGACTTACTGGTGGTAGAAACCAGACATCAGTATTTTTCTAAAGCTCCCTAGGTAATTCCAATGTGTAGCCAAGTCTGAGTCTAACTGCAATAGCTGTAGGGCCCTGGTGTTTGTGCTTTCTGTGGGCTTTCTAAGTGATTCTACCCATAAAATCCATGAAAAAAATTTGATCCTTACCACTGATGGATCCATTTTCTATTCCTTGGTTAGCTTTCCCCAGTGCCCCAAGAAAAAACAAATATGTTCCCTCTTGTTTCTCCTCTTTTTCTTACCAAGAACTTTGTCCTCATTTAGCTAAACTTACTTCCTAATTTAGCAACATAAGAAGAGAGTGTTATACACACCACACAGAATCACAACATAGGAATGGGTCCTACAATGGACTTGACATCAAGGCCTTTTACTAGCTGCACTATGAAATAGTAAGTTTAGGATGTAGAAGGTTAAAAACAAGATAGATGTGTACCAGATTGTGGATGACCAGGTTTTCAGCTACAGAGTCAATTGCCTTGAAGAAAATAATTCAGCAAGATCAATATAGATTTTAAGAAAATCATAAAGAGAGCAATGGAACAGAATAATGTGAAAGACTGTAAAGGAAACCATTGAACTTGACTGAAAAATTAGTTATGTGTAAAAATGGGGAACTGAAAATGTATGTCTGAAGTTGTAAGCCTATGTAAGAGAAATAAATTACAAAATCAGGAAGTGAAGGGGCTAAATTTCCTAGGGGAAAAGTGAAGAAGGGAAGAAGACTGAACTGTGCTTCACACCTGTCTGAGAAAATATGGCATTTAGGAGGTGAGGCCAGTCTGGAGAAAGAGATTTGGCATCTTATGCTGAAGAGTCCCAATTCCAGACAAATGAGAATATCAGGAAAGACACACGTAAAATAAAAGACAGAACTTTGGGAAACAGTAGGGGGAATGTAAATGGAGCCAATGAAGCCAAAAAGGATGCATCTTTCAGAGAGACAGGAGTAGAACCTGGATAAAGTCACAGACAAGAGAAAAGGGAAAGAGAAGTGATCAAAGGTATTAAGTGACCAAGGAGAAGGAGACCTGAGATAACAGACACAATCAATGCTCATTTTTTGTTTGTTTGTTTGGACAATTTTTTTATTTTATGAAAAAATAAAACAAATTTTCATATCCAAATCATAAGAGAATAGTGATAGTTACAACACTGTATACCATTATCATCAAGATAGTTACTCAATACAAGACATAAACCAAAAAATTCTTTAAAAAGAAACAGATAATAACACAAATTTTCTTTTCAGTGAACAAAGATAAACTATAGGTATAAATGAAACCAATTGGTATATACCTCTTATCACTACTCATTTCATACCAGGGCCCAACAGCCATCACTGGCTTTCCATTGCCTGCAGGTTAATATTGGCCTGACAAGAAAAGGTCTTATAAATTGGCTCTAATATATCCCAGTGATGCTTTATCTCCCAACACACACTGAGCTACCTACCATTCCCCATGCTAATTATGTCCTTTTGGGCTTCTTCATACATGCTACTTTCTTTGCCTGGCAAAATTTTACTTATTCTTTAAGATCTAATTCATAATGCTAGTTTATATCTGAATCTAGGTATTCCCATCATCTCTAGCCAAATGCCATATCCTGAAAGCTTTCTCAATGCCACCACTTCAGTTTGTATGTACCTCAATGACGGCACTTACCACATGGTGTCCTAATTATTATTTACATATCTGTTTCAGTTGCCTATTTCTGTGTAACAGACCACTTTAGAGCATAGTGTGCATTAAACAATAACTAATTTATTACCTCTAAATTCTGTGGTTGTATTGAGATCAGCTGTGTAGTTCTCGAAGGTCCATGTGATGTCATCCGAGGCTACAGTCAACTATAGGGCTTGACTGGGCTAGAACTTCCAAGACAATTTTCGCAGGAGTCTGGGCTGTAGGTGAGCTAGCTGGAATGCTGAGAAAGGTGAGCTCCTTTCTGTCCATGAAGCCTCTCCTCATGGTCAAGGTGGCCCAAATTTTTACACAACATTTCAGAGCTTGCAAAGAATGACATTTCAGAAGGAAGGAATTAGAAGCTGCCAGTTCTCTTAAAGGGCAGGTCCTGAACTGACACTGTGTCACTTCTACCGCTGTTGACACAGAGACCACTGAAAAGCAGGAACACCAGGAGGCATGGTTCCACAGGGACCACCTTTGGTGCAGTCTTCTTTATTAATCTGCTACTTGCTTGAAGGGAAAAAATTATATTTTTTTCATCCAATGGCCCTGGTATCTACTGTGAAACCTAACATATTCTGAGAAGTCATTAAATGATGGTTAAGCGAGAGTTTAGGTAAAACTGGAGGACTGAGACACAGGCCAAGTTAAGAACAATCAGGGCCAATAGAGAGTTAATCTTCTTATGTGAGGTCAAAATGAGGCCACATATGCTGTCATCAGTTTTGTATCTGAATTAAAAATATTAAATGTAAACATTTAAAATATATCATATTGTGGAATTCTATTTAGCATTTCTGTATTTTTAATACAGAAGTGTTCTGAGCTTCTCCTGACAACT